TTCTCTGGAAACATTTATTTCTTTATTTCAAATGGCGGGCTTTATGATACTTATGATTATCCCATTAGCTGACTTCGGGCTTCACAGAGGGGAGGAGGAACATCAAAGTGCGAAAAAGTGGAGAGGGGGACAGAAGAATGATTCAAAGATGTAAAAAAGACAGACAGACACAAAGGCAGAGAAAAGGTAAGATGCGTACTGTGAAAGGAGTCGAATATGAAATACAGTGGGGTCATGGTAGTTTGAAGTCAGAAGTCAACTGCCAGTTAATAGACTTTTTTGCCGTATGAGCATACGTTGCCCAGGGTGCCCCAGTTAGAGGTAAGTCTATGGCACACCTCCCTGATCTAATTATGAAAATATAATATATATATATATATATATATATATATAATTAAAACTATTTGAACTATTTGCTTATTAAGCCATTTATAAATTCAGTTAATTCGTAGATTTTGTACGAATCTTAAAGCGAATATTTGTTCTATGGCTGCAGATCATTCAAATGTCGGAAGGTATCGTGCTAATGAGGTAAGACTTATATTGTTATACTTGCTTAAGAAAAAATTTCCATTATCAATACTTGAAATTTCAAATCTCATTTAAGATAATAATGCTTAATTGAATAAGTATAAGGATCGAGCAAATAGTTAATAATAATAGCACCAACAATCGTTTTAATTTATGTCAATAAACGGGATGACGAATAAAATTAGTAAATACTCAAAACTTAACACTGAGTTCTCTACTGTAATGGGAACTACCTACCAAGATCCATCGAAAACTCCTCTAGTTTTCATAAATTTACAACTGATAAGATAGTCAAAGAAGATATATCTGAGAGAGACTAGTCATAGTTAACTCTCCATAACTCAATATGGGCTTAAAACCTGGTTGAGACACGGTGATATCAACATGCATTACCAAATTAGCCACAGATAATATTTTCCCTCTTTTGGTTCAAAATTATTGCCCTACATTTATAAAATTTGAATAATGTACAAAGCAAATCAAAAACTAATAATTCTTTGTATTAAATAAGTGCTTCTGATATTTCTAATTTTAATTCATTGAATGGCGGCAGATTAAATTGCGCTCAAGTGGTAAGTTTATGATACTTCTGTTTGCACAGAAGCACACTCAAAAACTGATAGCATTATGATACGTTTTTTATGGAACTTTGATCCTTCGACCAGTGTTCATAAATAACCTGAACACCAATCGCGTATTTTGTACAAAACTCAGAAACGCTAATAACGCCATTTCGCACATATATATTCTTGAAAATAATTAGAAATTATAAACAAAATCGATTCTAGTTTGAACAGAATGAATTTTAAATGCGAAAATTAAAAGCTTTTATCTTAATTAAATCGATTCCTACAATTTATGATATCAAGCCTTACTAAAAATCGATATATTTGCAAACACAGCAAAAAATGAAGCAAAATTGATTAAACAGCTTAATTAGAGAAATCAACCGCTAAATTGCATGTAAGTATTTTAATTTGGACAATCTTTTGGATAACTTCGAAAATGAAAGAATAATTAGCCACAACCAATATCTGAGACAATTTTAAGTTTAACATTTCGATACAAATAGAAATTTCAATACTCAAGTATATGTAATTAATATAAAACTGAATACAAAGTTATATTTGAATAAGATCTTTATCTTCCTGCATTTCGTCCACTGTTTTATCGGGGTACACAAAGAAAGTGTCTTCCGTGTCGACAGTATTCACAACGCAACTTTCGCCAGATTGAAGAATCGAATTAGAGGGCGGTGGGGTTGAAGAAAGAGACTTCGAGTGGGATAAAGTTCTCTGTTCCATAATGCGTGATCGAATGGCATCAAGAGGCGAGAGTGCTTCCTGACCTTGGTGCTCACGGTTTCTCTTTAGGGCTAAACTGAGAAGGGTGGTTCTTGATTCAGGTGCAGCTTTTACATCAAGATTAATTAAGGGGGTGATAGGTTGAACTAATGCCATAGTGCTAACCTCTTTGGCATATTAAGATATGTACCGTCATAGATCTTGATGATATACAATATTTTCACCAATCACATGAGGGTGCTTACAATATCGACCAATTAGGTTATTGGCACAACAACCAGAGATGAATTACAAAGGGTACGTAATGTGAAATAGCCTTTAGAATAAAGGTTTATATGAAGCATTTGAATAATTATATCAAGATTTTAATGCACAATTCAGAAAGAGCAAGATGTTGGCATCATCTTCATTTCCTCTTACTAGCAAAGCGGAAAAACTGCTTAACATTTACATCAGATGGCGCTGATAAATTAATTATTATTTGCTTTGATGTGATTTGCTTGTTAAGTTAAGTTTCAATGATTTTAGGAGTTTATTGAAAGTGTTGATCTAATCAATCTAAGAAATATTTTAGTATAATCATGTTAAAAGAAGCCCTGGTTCTGTGAATTCTCTGGAAAAGTTTCGTTGTCTTAGGAAGTTCACGAGATTCCACCCTAATACCTTTTGGTTTCGCTTGAGTTATCAGGTGCCACGGTGAATAAAAACGATTTAGGTAAAGTACAAACACAGACAATCAAGTAAGATGTCACGGAGGTCTTAGACTTGATCAGGCTACTATGGAAAGAGCAGTGGATTCCATTTCTAAAAGTGGGAGACACTGGTTTGCATAGCTCTCAGCCAACGGAGAATTCCACTGTCTGGGTCTTACGAATTAGAGGACGATTAAATTCTATGTGACAATTTTTAACGCCCATGGAAAAAGTAATACAACAAATGCTTTCAAACTAACATTTGCAGTAAAAAGTCTAGGAAACAGAGAATTTGATCTCCTTAGATTTCATTAACGCAAATCATTTTTTCCCCATGAACTAGTCCGAAGAATTCCACAAACTCATTTAGGATGAAGTTTTCCAACGCTCAATTTTTGTTTAGAGTGTTGGCACAAGAGCCTTCCTGTCCTCGTGTTATATTTCATATCATCTTTATAATTAAACATGCATATTGCTATGCATTAAATGATAAATTAATTTCAAAGGAGACAACTACTCGTAGATCGGATCACATGAGGGGGCCTGATTGACCTTCAATAGGCTGCAGCAAGTACTTTATTAACTAATCACAATTATCAATATTTTCGAATGGCTCACCCCCATAATATAGTTTCAATTTCTCTGACTCTAGTGAAATGGTGAACAGAAACCAAAAATATTATATTTATTTATATCAAATGGCCGATTTTATGATAGTTATCATTAGCCCTTTAGTTGACTTCTAGCTACACAGTGGGAAAGAACATCAAAGTTACGAAAGTCGAGGGGGAGGGGAACAGAAGAGTGATTCGTTGACGTAAGAGAGACAGACACAAAGGTAGAGAAAAAGGTAAGGTGAGGTGAGAACTGTGGAAGTGGTGGAATATGACATACATTGGGGTCATGGTAGTTTTAAGTCAGGAAGATCTCCTGATTCTTAAAGGCTCCCAGGATTAGATAAGCTGCTGGAAATCTATAGAGGAAAAAGTGGCGTAATGTGGAACGCGTTAATCTGGGATCTGTTGCTGACACAGTCATTAAAACACAACGAAGTGATTGTTGAGAAATGCAGAAATTATTGATTGGTGGCTAACTGAGAGGATTTTGCTCTCACGATCCCACTTGTCCCCTACGTGGCAAGTGACACTGCTGCACCTTCGAGCCTGTCAGGAAGAGCATGAGATTACTATGCTCAGCCATGACAGCATTGCGCCCTCTATAGGTATGAGATAAGTGGATAAGGTTTTCTTCAATTATTTTATAAGTCGGAAAACGTAAAAACGATTGTTTAAGAATTGAAAGACGTGAATAAAAGTGCTTATGTTCTTTGTTTTTAAGTACGAAAGCATTTTCCAACTCACTTATTTGAGGTGGATAATATATCTCTATTTTATTTGCCTCAGTGATCATTGTTAAACTTTTTGATAATGCTGAGCATATAGAATTTTACTTGATACAATTGGTTCCATCAGAAAACCTTCGATTTTGAAAATTGATATTGCGAAGCATTGGATGCCATGTTCAATTGAATCACAGGACCACAATGAAGACACGTCCAGTTCTGTGTCAATGGCAACTGTTCAGACAATATTGACGACTTGAAGGAGGCATTAATTCGCTATTAAATATCTGAACCAATGATGGTCTTTAATGAAATCGAAAAAAATTCATTTTGATGAAAAAATCTCTCAGAGTCTACTTTCAATTATGTATGTCAATTTCATGATGTCCTGATTTAAATGAATTTAACACGTTGGTACTATTAAGTACGCCTCCACAAATTAATTTAAAATCTCTCACCTGAATGTTTGTATTAAACGCACTGCTTGCCTATTGTAACAACGCAATGGTGAACTTTAAAAGTTTAGATTATTAAAATAAAAATAAAGTTTTAATTCCTAACCCAATACAAGTGAGGTATCTGGAGGAGAATTATGCACAAACGAGGAGACAAAATGTTTCTCTAGAGATTACTAGAACTTTCCAGAATTATTCAATGAGTGGTACAATAGAAATTGAAATCAAATGTCATTAAAAGTGTTTTTCTTTGAAATTTGCTGTTAGTTTTTGGGCACCCTTCAGTTTCTCACAACCTAATGTTCCAGTACTCCAACTCCTGTTTGGGGTATTCGGAACTTAGTGAACGATAAATTAACCACCATAGGCATTCTATTTTTCCAATTGCCAACGTGTTGTCAAGTGAAAGAAGTATTTATATGTTAGCTCAAGAACCCATTTAGATACACTCAAGTTTAACCTGTGCAGTGCACATCGTCAACATGGCTGTCGCGTTGGGAGTAGATGCAGTCAGATAGCAGTCAGATCTTCAACCACCCACCAATCAATAATTCCTGCATTGTTGAACAAATCCTTCATTGGTACTTTAACTACGAAGCTCTGTGACAGACACAGACCAAATAAAGCTGTACCAAACCGTTCTTCTGATTCCTCTATATTGCTAAGAAGATCTTGCTACAGAGATCATTGATCATAAGTCAAGGCTTATTCGTGTAGCAAATCACTGTAAACTCGACTACTTATTTGCAAAAAATGGTAAACATGAACTAATTTAATCAAGCGTAATTTTGTAGCGTTTAGTGCTTGGAAATCAGGATGCACATTTTCCATAAAAACTGTATTTCTAACCTAATTGATATAAACACAACTATAAAATATTGTTTTGAAAGTAAGGATTCAAAATCCTTCGATATCTGGACTCATATTTCCATAAAACGGTTGAGGAACTAAAGTTGATCAAGCAATTAAACATTTTTCATACTAAAGTCAGATTATTTTTGACTAAAGAAGTTGCAAAAGTTGGGCTGTTACAGGAACCCGTTAAACTACTGAAGGCGAAAAATAAAATAGACTTTGAGAAACAGGGGGCAATTTTTCGACTTCGCAACTGGCCAGGTGTACTAATTCAGTGGTCTATGTGAAAGAGTTGAATAACCTGGTTTAAAAGAAGGATAGAATGTTTCACAGATGAGGAGTGAGCCTTTGATAAGAAAATGTGAATAAAGAATTAACCTTGGACTAGGGAAAAATGTTTCGTATTGAAATGCCATGAATGGTCATCCTTAAAGAATAACTGATAAATAGCTTGCTTTTAAAAAAAGGGATCGTACAAAACTGAATGTTGCCTGTCTAGAAGTTTTGCAGTTCGACTAGTGATATAGCTAATTGAAATCTTATTCCTAATGTGGAGAACGCAGGTAAAGGGGTCAAGATAGTGTCACTGCAATGTTAGAAGCAGCTGTCTGCGACATCGAATCTCAGAAGTTGATAGGTTGGTTAAATATGTAACACCAGCAAGATATTTATTTATATCAAATGGCAGGCTTTCTGATAGTTATCATTAGCCTTATAGTTGACTTCAGGCTTCACAGAGGGGAAGGTACATCAAAGTGGAAACAAAGTCGAGAGAGGGGGGGGGGAAACAGAAGAGTGCTACAAAGACGAAGGCAGAGAAAAGGTAAGATGAATACTGTTGAAGGGGTCGAATATGGCATACAGTGGGATCATGGCTGTTTGAAGTCAGAAGTCAACTGCCAGTTAATAGACTTTTTTGCCGTGTGAGTATACGTTGCCCAGGGTGCACCATGTGGAGATAAGTCTATCCCACACCCCACACCAGCAAGATAAATAGCAGTAGTTTGGGTTTTATTGCCTGAGTAATCAGAATTTTCTGTATCCTCCTCATGCCATAAATGCTTGTTATTCAAGTTGATTTAAAACCATAATTGATGTGGAAGTGCCCCCCTAATTCAGTGCTCCATAATGCATCTACTGCTCTCCTGTCCATTTTGGTAAAATTTTACGATCGTCACACCCAAACAAAAATTGAAAAATGGCCTGTGAGTGCATTAGCCGAAATGTCTGCTTTCCGAATGTGTAATGCCTAAAATTTGGGGTAGAATTAGTTTGTTAAATTAAAATGTCAGAAAGCTACTCTAATTTTAAACATTAACTAAAAACCTAGTTAAACCCCCAACCACATATAGAGCTTACCGTTGTAAACTGGGTCTTACCCTTCTTAATATTATTTTATTAACAACAATGAAGTAAAGCAACTATGGGAGTTGATGACTAAACCGGATAACCAATGGAATGTGGGTCGAGGACAGAGATCAAATGGATATTGATTTAAAAGAAAAGAATGCATATACGTGCTTCATTTTGGGTTTCGATCACATTCTCACTACCACATTTTTACCACCAAATTTCTTACCTCCAGTATTAGAGAAAGAAGGGTGTACGATTAATTTACCTCCTGGGCAACGCATACTCTTACAGCAAAAAAAATCAATAAACCGGCAGTTGACTTCAAACTACTTTGACCCCACTGTATGTCAATTTCAACTACTTCCACAGTATTCACATCACCTTTTTCTTTACCTTTGTATTTGTCTGCCACTTTTACATCCGTTGATCACTCTTTGAACGAGCTGGCCTCGCGATATT